AAAAAGAAAATAAAAAATAAAAGAAAAAGAAAATCAACCAATAAATGTTGGCAGCTTGGGGAAAAGGAACCTTCCTCTACCACCGCTGGTGGGAGTGTTGCATTTGTAGTGCAACTACTGGAAACGCCCCCAAAAACTAAAACTAGAAGTCCCATTTGACCCAGCTATTCCCCTTGTTGGTATCTTTCTCAAAAAAATTAGAGCAACGTACTAGAGTGACACAGCCACACCCATGTTCACAGCAGCATACTTTGTAACAGCCAAATCCTGGAAACAGCCCAAATGCCCATTAACTGATGAACGAATAAAGATGTGCTTTTAAAAAATACAATAGAGTATTACTCTGCCATAAAGAAGGATAAACTCGAGACATTCCTAGCTAATGGATGCACCTTGAGACTATACTCTTTTTTATTTTTTATTTTTTTGGCACTGGGAATCAAACTCAGAACCTCACACTTGCCAGGCAGGCATTGTGCTGCTGAGCTACATCCCCAGCTGAGACATATTCTTAAGTGAAATAAATCAGACACAGATGTAAATACCAAATTGTTTCTCCGGTGTGAGAAACTTAAAGTGTAAAGAAGGACCAAGGGGAACTGGGGGGGGGGGGGGCAAAAAACAAATAAAAAAAAAAAAAGAAATCAAGGCTTTTGTAAATTAAGGAGGGCAAGAGAGGTTGAAGGGAGGGAAGGAGAATAGGAAAACATTCAGCAACAAAAGACAGCATGTATAGGTACAAACTGCCTGTGATGAATGCTATCATTACATGCATCTAACATGCACCCATTTTTTAAAAAAAGAAAACAGCCCTCTAACACCCGCAAAGACACACCAAGGCCTGTTACAAACTGAGGCAAGATCATAGCCAGGGCACCTTCTAAGGCTGAAAGACCTGAATATGGTCTACAAATTACAAAGTAATCTGACACTGACCCTGACAGCTGTGTGCTACGGCTGTACAGGAAAATTCCTGTTTTGTTTTTTGAGATGAAACCCAGGACCCTCTCACTGAACTGACTTTCCTAGCCCTTTCTGACTTTTTATTTAATCTAAGTTGCCCAGGCTGGGACTGACCTTGCAGGTTTCTTGCCTCAGCCTATCACAGTGCTGGGATTACAGGTTAAGAATTACCTCTTTGGAAGAAAAACTGTTTAGAGGTTAAGAGCACCACATCTGGAACCAACTCTCGACAGTACAGGAAGAACAACAGGCTGTGTGCATGCACATGTGGAAAGAATACAAGGCCCACATGGTCTGACGGGTAAATCTGGGGGATCAACAGGGAAAGGTGCTGGGCATGATGGTGCATACTGGTAGTCCTGGCGCTTGGGAGGCTGAAGCAGAGGAATCGCTGAGGCAGGGAGATCGCTCTAGCGCAAGGCCAGCCTGGCCTTCAAAGTGAGCTCAAGGCCTATCTACACTGCACAGTGGGACCCTGTCTCAAAGGAGAAGAAAAAAGGGCCAGAGATGTAGCTCAGTGGCACAAGCGCCTGCTTGACAAGTGCAAGGTCCTGAGTTCAATTCCCACACCAAAAAAAAAAAAAAGTGAAAGGCATAGAAGAATTCTTCATAATTTCCCAATATCCTAATATATCTGAAATAATTAACATATTTAATAATCTTTCCCTTGGAAACTTATTCTGAAGAAATCGTAAAGGATCATGTACAAAATCTTGTCTGAAATGAAATTTGTAGCAGCACCAGGGAATAGGAAACAACTTACACCATTAGGATGAACACTCAGGGCCAGCCAAATAGCTCAGTGGATTAAAGCGCAGGGGCCAGGGATTTGATCCCTGGGCCCACCATTCCAGCCATGCCCCCAGGGCTCATTAAGACAGCAATTGAGACTGGGCATGGTGGTGCCAGCCTGTAATCCCAGCTCTCGGGAGGCTGTAAACAGGCAGATCACTACAAGTCCAATTTAGTAGTGAGACCTTGTACACCCTGTAGACCCTTCCCTAAAATACAAAAAAAAAAGATGAACACCCAGATTGAACTCAGGACCCTGTATTGCCAGACGAGCACTTATTCTACTGAGCTATCTCCCCGGTCCCTAATTTCTAAATTTCTCTACGTAACTGTCTCTTTTTTTTTTTTTCAATTTTTATTTATTTATGTGTGTGTGTGTGTGCACGTGTGTGTGGCCAGCTCAGCCCACCAGGGGGCGGGGCTGACTGGCATGTGGTGCTGGGGGATTGAACCGCGGTCCCTGTGCTTTGCTGAGCTTGTTCCAAGTAGGTGCTTTAGACCACTGAGCCATCTCACCAGCCCCTCTACGTAACTGTCTTTTAACTTTCTATAAGCATTTAATTAGAATACTGATGTACTCATGTAATTAGAATTCATGTACTACATGTACTACATGTATATTACATGTACTCATGTAATTAGAATTCTCATGTGGGGGGGTCAGGGAGATGCCTCAGTGGAATAAGCGTTTCCCTGGCAAGCTCAAGGGCCCAAGTTCAATTCCCAGTTCCGCTAAAAAAAAAAAAAAAGAAAAAAGAAAAAAGAATACCCATGGCTATTAGAAAACAACCACAACAATATCTATAGATGAGGGAAAAACAACAACAACAAAAATCATAAAGTCAAAAGAGTCACAGGCCAGGAAGATAGCTCAGCAGCATAAGTGCCTGCCTGGCAAGCACAAGGACCCAAGTTCAATCCCCAGTACCATAAAACAAACAAACAAACAAACAACAACAACAAAAAAAAACAAACAACTAACTCACACTGTCAGCATCTTCCATCCAGGTGTGCTTCCGATCTTCTTCTTCAATCCCAATCCCAATCACAGCACGCATGACTGCCTGGCAGGTGGCCACACTTCCTGCCCTGTCACACTCCTCAGCATCCTGAAAGAGGAACACAAAAACTATATTTTTGAATTTTAACATCAGAGTTGCAGAAGCCTGCAAAAGGTGGGGCTGGGACGTAGTTCAGTTCAGTATCAGAGTGCTTGTCTAGTGTATATAAGGCCCTGGCTTTGATGCCCAGCACTGCACAGAACAGAAAAGAAATGAGCCCCTCCTGGACATGAGACTGAGAGGTATGGTGCTTTATGGGGTGCAACCCTGACAGTTCAACTGCCCATGTGTATCTTATTCACTGATGCACCTACCCCACCACCAGCACACAAATGTGAGTACCGGATGAAAATATGCCCATGCAATGGACTTTTTCTTTCTTTTTTTTTTTTTTTCAGAACCAGGGATTGAACTCAGCCCCTTGCGCTTGCCAGGCAAGTGCTTATTCTACTGAGCTATCTCCTCAGCGCCATGCAATGGACTTTCAGTACTCTTAGGGTTTGTGTCTAGTTGTCCCCACCCTCCTGAAAGCCTCACAAAGGGGGCTGGGGAGATGGCTCAGGAGAATAACCACTTGCCTGGCAAGCACAAGG